AGTAGAGAAAAACGTCTTCCTCCCCTACAGTGCTTACACAAACCTGGGTGATCCAGCCTACTACACACCTAGGCTACTAATCTTATGGGTCCATGTTCGTATATGCAGCCCATCATTGACTGAAACATTGTTATGCAGTGCATGACTGTAATTGGAAAATGCGCAAAAAGAGGCCCAGAAGACATTAGGAGACTTATTCAGGGTAACACACAGACCACACAGTACAAAACAGAGCTGTATTAGAACTCAGAAATGTCCTTCTTTTTCACTGCACAAAAAGTTTCAGATTCAGAATTAAATGCACCTCAACACATGAGGTAGTCTAATTAATAGTGCCAACTTACATATTCAGAAATTAAGGCTCAGAGTCTGTTAAGTGACTTGCCCAAAGTCACACAGCAAGAACAGTGTAACTGGAAGAGTCAGGGCTAGAATCCTAGCCTCCCCCACTCCTGACAGCAGAATAATGTCCTTGTTAAAAGCAAGAGTTTTGTATCAGCCTGACCCCAGTTGAGTCCCAGCTATGCCACTTACTTGCTGGTAAACTTAGGAAACTCCTGGACTTTTCCAATCCTACCATTCCCCGTTATACTTTACTTCAAAGGGTTATGGTGATGATTAAATGATACAATGATGTAAAGCTCTATGACATCCTCTGCCGCAGAGTAAACCTCTAATCATCTCAGTCACTGTGCCTCCCTGTCTCTCTCTCTCCGTGGAAGGACTCCAGTTCCAGGAGCCAGCAGACATATCTGCTCATTTGGCTCAGCAACCTGGTTCTAGTCTCAAAGGTCAACTGGGACCACGCTCATTGTGTGCAGGAGCAGCTCTGCTGGACAGAGAATGCACGACATCAGGCCTAACACAGGACAGGATGTCGGAGTGCTGAGCAGCCAGTCTGGGGATCTCCAGCGATTCTGATTCAATAGGTCTAAAACGGGACCAGAGATTGCAAATGGTTAAAAAGCTCCAGGAGAGTCTAAAAAGCTAATATTCAATGACAAGTTCTCAGTTTGACAAGAGAAGCTAACATTTCTGTGAATACTAAAGGCCCCAATCTAATCTAGAGCCATGCATTAGCCAGCGGGGGCCACAACAAGGACATCATGGGAAGCACCAAGGATCATCAACAGTCCTAGGGCTCTTCTGTCAAGGACAAAGGGTAGCAACTGCCCAGAACCCTGGAGGGAGAACTGAAACCAAGCCAAACCCAACCAGACCAAATCCAGCAAAAATACACGTTCAGACGGACCTCCCTACCCTAGATGCATGTTTTCAGAGCTGGAACAGACTTCAGAGACAACCTCGCCCATTAGACACATACAGCACAATAGTAACTAGAACTCTAAGGAACTTATCAAGACTTGCAGGACCATAAAGCAACAACGCACAGTAAAACCCCTCAATAAACATTGCTGGATGAAGTCATCAAGAGAAAAGGGGCATTCAAACACTGGAAAGACAGGGTTTCAAAATGGCCTATTCTGAAGACACAGAAAGTGCCTAAAACCATGGCAGGTCCAGCCACATGCAGAAGCACCACAGTAGAAGGTCAGACCTTTGAAGCGGCCACGTGGGATTTACAGGCCTGAAAGGAGTCAAGAGCCAGCAAACTGTTCTAGAGTTGGTGGGCAAAGGAGATGAGGAGGGGTCTCCACAGGCCCGTATGAATTTCTCAGGTTTTAAGCACTATTTTATCTTTAGGACCCCGCATACGGCATTCAGCAAATATTTGTTGAATGTGTGAAAGTAAGAGAGGTCTCAGATACAGGTAGTCAGACAAAGGGCAAAACATCCCTGGTCCCACAGGCTAAGCAGGGCTCCTGAGTGGAGCACGCCCCAGGGAGTGGGCCTTTCTGTTGTCTGACCCAAGAACGATGGAAATGAATTGCTAGTACGACGGCAGGAACACAAGTTTTCGAGTCAGACACAACTGGGTTCAAACTCAAACTCCGCACGCTCTTGGCCTAAGTACTGGACCTCTTTGAGCCTCAGTGTCTCATCTTTAAAAGGGGATAATACCACCTACTTCACTGCCAATATAGGTATGATGATATTTATCTTTACAAAGCTGTTGGATGAAAATTACATGAACTAATGGATTTATGCAAAGTAGCTAGCACACTGGCCAGCACACAGTATGAGCTTAACAAATGGCAATGGGTGTTGTAATTAATCACGCCCTCTCTAGCCAGAGTCTATATTCTCCTAGGCTGCCTCTAATTGTACTCCAGAGTTCTTTCTGATACCAAGCCGCAGAAATAACTCCAGTTTAAGTTCACTAGGTTTTCTAGTAACGCCCATTTCTTTAAATAAATAATCAGATCATGTATACATTCCTTTTCAGTTTACAAAGTAACTTCACACTCACACATAACTCTGAAACGATGCATTGCTATTATCCAGGTTTAAGAGATGAAGACACTAAGACCACCCAGCTGGGAAAAGGCAGACTGGGATCGGAAGTACAGGTTTTAACATTTGATTATAATGAGCATCATTTTCTCAACCAGAAATTCAAACAAGTGATTTTATTATGGAATAAAGTACTTGAACTCTGACTGCGCCACAAATCCCCTCAGATTCTGTTTGGATCACCCTAATACTTAGAGCTAAAATCAGAAACAAAATCCTGAAAGAAGAGGCAATAATTTTTTTTTAAACAAAGCCCCTCGTCTGGAGTAAAAGCACCTATTCTTCATGGTCTCAAGTAGAAGAGGAACATGTCCGAGAGTCAGGTCCACGTGCGTTTTAGCAACATCTCTACCATTTATTAGCCACGGGACCCTGAATGATTCTTAACTCCAGTAAATGTCAATATCTTCCTCTGTGTAATGGGAAAGCATTACTCCTAAGGTTGTGTGAGGTTTCTGGCATTGAGAAGGCAATTGGTAAATTTCACCTACTCCAATAACCATGCCATGGTACCGACCACATGAACTGCAGGGTAAGCGACCGCTTGTCTTCCTTCCTGGCTTCTACAGCTTCTGCATACCCCCCCGTTCTGCATCTGTTCAATGGGGACACAACCAGTCTCCATCCGACCTCGCCAGGGAATGAAGATAACAAAAGAGCTGGCAGAGACATTATGCAAATACCAAATATTATTAAAACATTAATGAACTCTGGCAATTTCCCTGACTTTTGATAAATAGTGTTTATTATGCACTGCCAGCCTCTCACACAATCTGGGTTCTCAGATATTAACTAGATAATAATAGCAATCATTCTCCTAAAAGAGCAAGGTGTAAAGAAATATGGAGCGAATGTAGATTCCAGCTAACACCTGCCTCCAAAGGAATCAGAATCTCTGTACAAGCAGAGAATGTCAGGACAGACCATGGAGACCACGGGGATGACCACAGTGACCACCAGCCTGCTTACATCAAGCCCACAGCCTAGACAGAGCCCTACTTTGATATGATAGTGGAGTTTCTTCGTGCTGACAGGCCACTGATTATAACAACTGTCTACCATCACTTTGCTCTTCTGGGTAAAGCTGCCTCCAAACTAGACAAAACAAAAAGGGTCTGGGAAGCTGGGGGGCTTCCATCCAAGCTAATAACCTTAGAGAGAGAGAGTGGCAGCTGCCCTGTCTGAAAACAGGGGTGGTGTTATCCACAGCTCCATGAAAAAGGCTTGCACCAAACTCCTCTGCCACCTCATTCTGGGTGAGGGGATAACATTTTTAAGCTGCTGACACTCTTAGGTACAGCTCAGACACAGGCAAAACAAAGCCAAGAGGACTTGCCCCCCACAAGTCCCACAAATAAGGGCCTGGTGCCACCTTAACAAGCTGAGGGTCATTAAGACACCTCATTCGCATATTCATGAAAGACTCAAGGCTGTGTGGCAAGTGAAACAAAGTGCACAAAAAGAGATTCTGTTTTTTAAACCAAGCGAAAATCCGCTTTAGAAAAAGTAAATCCACATGGGGACTCTTGCAGTCACCAAACCTTCACTTGTCTAGAGCAGCCAGCACCTCATTAAAGAAAAGCAAGGGACACACAAATGAATGCAGCACCACACACAGGCAAGCTCATCTCGCCATCTGCCTTGGAGGGTCCAGAGGGGCAAAAGGCTTACATGACACTCTCCTGAATTTTCTCTCCCGCAGGTGGAAATACCAAATTCCCAGGGGGCAAGAAAGACTTCTCTTGCAAGGTCAACTGGGTAAAAGGAATGGAAGATGATATAGTTTACTCTCAACACAATGCCACATATGACATTAAACACGTGTGTAAATTAAGCACCCTGGAATAATTCACCCTTCATATTTGGGTAACAGCTTTGCTAAATCAGTGTATCAGCTGTGGGGTTGTCACAGAAGTTCCTAAAGAACTGGGCATTTAAACCTACCCCTCCCCATATCCTCCCACTTTCTGTCCCATGACTATCCTGACTGATGGTGACCTAGTACATTTTCCTAGTGAAAGATCAGGGCAGGAGACATTGGAATCGATGTGGGGGCTGTAACACTACAATGGCAGAATTCCATTATTTATGTCAATAAGGAAGGCCATGATTAAGCAACTTAAATAACTACCCTGACCCTTCCCTGTGTGTCCCCACTCTCCTGACAATCACTGAGCTGGTTTTCAGATCTGGAAGCTTTGTAAGCTTGTGAGCTTCCCAACCAGGTTAGGGAGTTAACAACAACACACATTTAATCCATCTCAGTAGTAATGGTCACATATCTCAAAGAGAGCTTTTCAATCCCACACACAATCTAGGATACACTGGGAGATCGTGGAGCATAAAGTAAAATGCAGCCCCAAGTTTTAACACGCTTCATGCAACTTCCCAAAGCGTTACGACTACCGGCGACCACACATTCAGTTTGTATTACCCCCACACGGGCTGTGGGGAGGAACAAATCTGAGAGGGTAGAAGGTACTCTCCGATAGACCCAGCAACAACAGACAGCCGGCTGAAATCCAAGGAGACGGCAGGAGGAAAGCAAAAGCTCAAAAACCTTTTGCAATCAAATTCTCCACTACCTGGAAAATGGGCTGAGGATGTGTGTGTAGAGCGCACAGAGACATGCCTTGGGGCAGCGCCACACTGGAGTCCCGGTTCTGCGGAATGTGACCGGCCAGGCCACGTACCGCACGCCGGCCAGGGTTGCGCTGGTGCAGCCGCAATCGATGTTGGAGGCTCCCAGCAGCGGACAGTCGTACTACATCTCAGTTGCAATAATCCGAACGACAGGACAGCTAAGGACGGGTTCGGTCTCCCTGACTCAATTATTTTCCTTTCCACATCATTCAACAATCTGTCTAAAGACCTGTAGGTGCTGGGCTGGGGGTGAGAGTGGGCGTCATATTTTCTATCCCCCGACGTCTCCCAGCTTCGAAACTCAGGGCACCTCTCTCGGCCAGCGCGTGGACGACACACAAAGAGGAGGCGGCTGGCGCTCCTTGGGATGTGAGCTCTGAGCCTGGTCATTTTCGAGCTGGGAATTAGGAATTCCGAGCTCAGCAAGAACCCTAGAGAAGCACCGGAAATGCTTCCGAACGCTTCAAAGGGAAGTGGATTTGCAAATCAAAGTTGCAGGAACACCGGGCGCCCAGCCTACTTTAGCGGGTTACTAGGGAACACCCAACAAGTTTGGCCACCGGGGGCTCGGCGTGACAGCGCCGCGCCGCAAGACTAGAGAAGCAACTTGTCGCTCGGGCGCGGAGCCAGAGCCCCAAGCTGTCTCCGCGCCCCGAGCTCAGGAGAGGACCCGAGACTCGGCGTTGGGAAGGCGCAGCTCCGTGCCTCCGGAGACATCCTGAATTGAAAGGGTCTCACCTGGACCGCGCTGCTTCCAAGGACGTCCCCCAACCGTGAGACGTTTCACTACGAACACTTCACCTACCTACCAGCCCCCGACCGATGAGAAATTAACAAAAGAGCCAGCCATCGGGGGGAAAAAAGGGGACCCGGCGCAAAGTAGTAGTAAGGAGAGGAGGGAAGGCAGCTCAGCTTGCGGCGGAGAAAGAAGGGAAGAGGCGGAACAGAGATGAGTTATGCCCCAGGCACCCGGCTCCAGGAAAAGAACCAAGAAGGAAAGAGAGCGCGAGAAGGGGGAATGGGTTCTTACCCCGCTTCCCATCACTCACACACCTCCCCCTTTTTCCTCCTTACCCAGCATGGAAAAGATGAAATCCTTGGCTGTGTGAATCTCCAGCGCTCTCTGGTCGTCGTATTCCCGCTGGTCGTGCTTCGTGAATTCTTGGATGAGTTTGTTCAATTCCTCCACCCGAGCTCCCGACCTGAAATCCAGCTCCGGGAACGTAGGCTTGTTGTTACAGCCCAGGGAGGCTGCCTTGCTGGCGGTGGGAGCCGCCATCTTCATGCAAAACGCGCCGAGTAGCAGCTCCGCGGCGGCGGCAGCACCCACCCCCGCCCCCCACCCCGCCCCCTTGGGCCTCCTCCCCTCGCCGGTTCCCTGGCTGTGGCCCCGGGCCGTGGGCGGGCTGGCGTCTAGGCGGGCGGTCCCGGCTCCGGGCGTCCCGGCTTCGGGAGGAGCTGGACTGCAGCGAGGGTGCGTGTGTGGCCCCGACACCCTCGCCTGCGCCCCCACGCCGGTCCCGATGCTGCAGGTCCTTGCCCTCCCCTGGCCCTCGCTGACAGCGGCGACAGCGGTCGTAGCGCCAACCGGAGCCTCCCCCCTGGCGAGGAAAGTGAAGTGGAAACAATGTGAAATTCACCAGCTCTGAAATCAACAAGCTGCCGGCTCCCGTGTTACGGAGCCAGCACCAGCGTCCCCATTTAAAGGGACAGCGCACCCAGTGGAAAGAAAAATGAAAAAATGACAAGAGGTCTGCGCGCCTCTGCCGCTTGCCAGTCTGTACTCGGGCAGACGTGCGAGGTGTGGGCGCATTCTTTCTCTACCTCCACCCGCTTTGGGGACAAGGCTTGTCAAGCACCTTCAAGGAGAAGGGAGTCTTCCTCTGTCTGATTTTAAGGGCGGTGTCCTGGACGAAGACATCTCTATGGGAGCATTTCCGTATCAAGAACTCCAGTGCCTTTAGATGGTGAAGGAACCTGCCTTAAGGAATTTGAAACTAGTCTTCTGCCCTTTTCTGCATAGATTGCCGAACGATAAGACTGAGCGTATCAAAAAAAAAAAAAAAACGAGTGCCCACCCCGGGCCGGTAGAGACACTCCCCTTAGCCACTAAAGTCTCCCTACCTTTGCCCTAGGTAATTTTCCTGTGTAATGGCATATTCACCTTAATATATAATGAGTTAATGAGCTCCAGCCTGCTCTAATGTAAAGATAGGGAAACTGAAGTGTGGGTGTGGGGGAGGGGAAACGGAATGCATTGCCCCAGGTTCCAGTGAATGTTGAATGACAAGGTGAAAATTCTCTCATTCAACAACAGTTTGAGCACGCACTATTTGCCGGGCAGAGTGCCAGAATCTGGGTAGACAGTGATAAGACAAAGGACACGGTTCCTACACAGGAGTTAGACTTACTTGACAAGGTACCTTCCATCTAAGTCGTGGGCCTTTAGACAGAATAGGATCTCAGAGGTGTTTTTGTGTTTATGAAGTTTTTGGCTCAAACACTTAGGAGGCCTATTCTTAGAAACAAAGTTTGCCTTCATCTCTCATTCTCCAAAATCCAAGTCTTTCCTATCCCACCGTCCCTGTTTGAGAAGGACCTTTTCGTTTTCTTACCTGGCTTCTCATAGCCAAGGATACAAACTCTTTTGTTAGTCTAGGCTCTGCCATGCTTTTCCCTACAAAATGGAGATGATGATAACTCCCGTCTCCTAGGTTGTTTTAAGGATTACATGAGATAAAGTGGGTCAAGGACTTAGTGGATGCCTGGCATAATGAGTACTTAATTAAATGTTCGCTGCTACTATTGCTGTTGTTATAAACGTCATTCTTTCCCTTCTCCAACCTGTTCTCCACATCATTGCCACAGTGATCTTCACAAAACACAGATCTGGCCACTGACATCCCCCTGCAGTTTCTCTCCTCCTTACTCCCTTCCCAACTTCAGACCAAAGCCAATTTCATACCTGCCTTTTCCTGAACGCCTTCCCTAAGACACTTCCCCAAGCTGGTGGCAGTGTCTCCCTCCTTAGAACCTACACTGCATCCTTGCAGAAACTTTCGTGTGACACTGATGAATTTTGATGTGGCTTTGTCATTATTAATGCAAGTTTCAAGCTATGAGATTCTTTAGGAGAAGGGCTACATCTTATTCATCTTCATATTTCCCGCAGCATTTAGGCCTGCACAAAGGTCTTCAATGTTTATTGAATCAAGTAATGACTGAAGAAGACCTTTGGCATAGCCAGTTAATTTCTTTTGCTTTTGGTTTCCTTCTCTTTGAAACAAGTTTTCTCACCCAGTCTGTATTAAAGAAGGGAGATACACGCCCAGATAAATGCTGGTGAACTGATGAGGTTGCCACTTAAACCTCTGGCTTTTGCAAGTCTGCTAGGCTGCCCTGACTTCTCGTCTGAGAGGGGATTACCGTTACTTGGACAGTGGTGTAAGCCATGCAAGTCATCGGAACTCCAACACAAATCGATCTGCTCCCATCTGTCAGTGCTTCTCTCCTGATCAATGGCAGGTATCTGTGAGGGAGCCGACTGAGGCACGGTCGTTCCATGGCTCGGAGTGGTCCTAGTTCACCCGTGCAAGCAACAGACTCCAATCTACACAAAACAGTTTGAAATAATTGAGGCAGAAAGGTCAAGATGGCTTGAAGGAGGCATTGTTCCTCCCTTGTTTCTATCTTTGCCTGTGATGCTTATATTCATAGAGAGAAAACAGATGAGCGGGAATTGTTCTCATTGTGCCGTAGCCTGGGCCTTGGGTGTTCTCAGTGAGTCGATGAATAGTCTCTCTGTTTTTCTACGTTGTCTGTTCCACCTTCCATCAGCCAGATCAGAATTCTATGAATCATTGACCTTCAGTATTTAGTGAATGTCCTGAATAGTAAATGAAATACCTTTTATATGCTCTTATAGAACTCTGATAAGATGGTATTAATATCTCCTGTCAAATTGGCAAAATAGGGAAAGAGGATCAGGAACCTTATTTCCTGAATTGGTCTCTTGGGAGACTTTTTTAACCTCTGGGCCCTAATAGACAATGAGTGGCTCCAGGGCAAGTGCTGTGTCTCTTCGCCTTTGTAAACACTGCATTTAATACAGTTCCTGGCCCATCTTATGACCTTAATTAATATGTTTGAATGAATTAATTAATACCATCTCTCAAAGTCAAGGAAGTCAGCATCTAGGTGATTTTTGCTACAATCAAATATCTCAATGTAAGCCATTTGTGGTTTCCCGACAATCACTTAAGTGTTGTTATAAGTGTAGGTATTTCTTCTTGAGTTTAATTAAATGCTTCTATTTTCATGCCTTCCCCCCTCCACCCCCCCACCGTGTATGTTATATGGCCTAAGAGAAGGAAGGGAGATGGACAATAAAATGAAGAGAAAGAAAGAAAAAATAATTATTAGAAGATATTAAAGATTGTCTCAGTCTTAGAATAAAAGTGTGTATTTCTAGAGTTTTGACAAATGACTCAGGAAAGGGGAATGGAGTCTACCATCTAACTAAGCACTGAGGTAGGCTGTTTCTTCGCTTGCTCCTGCAGCATCAAACAGACCAAAGAAACTCGCTGCCTGTCCAAACTGGTGGCCCACTTAGAGACAGAACTTGCCCCTCCACTTTCTCACTTGCGAATTTTATTAGCTTGTGAAAGGAGCCCTCTTCTTGCATCTCTGGAGCTGTTTGTTTTTAAATCCAGCTCTAAAGTTCTGTGGCAAACCCTCAGCCATGAATAACTGGGCTGTGCAGAGCGTGCATTAAAAATAGCAAGCTCCACATCCACATGATGGATTAACAAAATATAATTTTAAACAAAGATTCTCTGGTCTGACAGAGATTTAAATAGCAGCCCAGGCTACAGATCTGGCCTTCTTGGGCAGCTGGATTTTCCATAAAATTCTAACAAATGAAAGTGCCCCAAGCTTGTTATAATTTGAAAATATAGGCAGGAGAAAAGAGAAACAAACATCATAGACATGTGGAATGTTGGTGGTGGAAGAGATCTTGGGGGATAAATCTGTCCACCACCTTCATTTTGCAGATAGAAGAACTGAGACACAGAAAGAGAAAGGAAACTTGTGTAAATAGTAAAGATCGTGCTGTTTCTATTTTTCATACTAACTTCAACTTTCGCAAATATTTATTGGGTTTCAGACCACCAGAGGGGGCATGGAAAATGCCGTGCAATTTGACCAGAATCATAATAAAACACAAAGAGGAGAGCAGCCCTTGGACAAAATGCACCCATCGCACTTGAAAGTTAAATCTCAATAAACCAGGAATTGCTGATATTTGGAATTACTTGGCTACTGCTTTTTCTCCCGCCATCGGGACTAGAGCTGAATTTCCTTGGTATCTCATAAAGTCATTCAGGGGCACACAACCCTGCTTGGGGCATGCTGGGCAATTTCATCTCCGGTGAGATTAGGCCACTGAACTGTTAGTGAGGTCCCCAGAACAGCGTAGATAACCCTCTTCACTCAGTCTATTCAGTTCTAACAAGGTGAACCCCAAGTAAGGCCCATCCCCTCTGACGCATTCCCACAGTTCAGGGGCCTTGCTCCACCCTCTCCTTCAACCCTGTGCCCTAATAACCCTGAGGTTGTTAGGTTATTAGTTATGAGGTTATTAATAACCCTAATAACCTCTAGTTGTGAAGAAACTGTACAATGTAAATCTCTCCACCCAAATCTGTCCTTTTATTCTCTGCCCCTGCTGTACTCAGGGAAGCCAAATCTGTACGTGTGGAAAGAGGAAAATGGACTCCGGGAACAGCGATAACAATATCTGATAATTGCTAACAATTGTCATTCCTTACATTGATAGAGCACTTACCAGTTCAGCAAAGCGTTTACCACCAAAATCTGCTTATGGATCCTCACAGCCTCCCCCTAATGCAGGTCAGTCAGGACTGTTATGAGCGTTCCAATTTGAGAGAGAAGAAACGGGGACTCAGTGAGGTGGTGATTTCTGTGAGCTCCCCAGCTAGTCATTGTCATCCTTCAGCTCTCTATTTAGATGTCACTTCCTGCAAATGGCTTTTCCTGAAGCTCCTTCACTCTCTTGCATACCCACGTCTCGGTGGTGTAGGTTTCTTATAGACTCTCCTCACCTTTTGACGCCATCATTGCTCTTCTCATACGTCTTTGTAGCTGCCTGATAACTGATAACTGTCTTCCTCACAAAAATGTATGCTCCGT